CCGGGCGTGTCGATGAGGGTCACGTGGTGAAGGAGCGGCGAGTCGAGCTGGGCGCCCTGGAACTTTGAGAGGAAGCCGTTGCCAAACATCTCGAGCCCGCGAAACGGCATGTTGGCCGAGACGGCCAGCGCGTTTCCAGGCGTCGTCTTGTCCTCCTGGCCGTGCATCACGGCGATGAAGCGGTCGGTGGTGGGCTCGGGCCCGATGTGCGCGCCGGGAAAGTCGCGGCCGAGCAGGTACTTGATGAAGGAGGTCTTGCCCACCGAGTACTGACCGAGGAGCAGCACCATCGGCTTGGCGTCAAAGTCCGAGTCGTTCATATACGGCGAGTAGAACTCGCCAAATTTGTACGCCTCCTCGATCGGCCGGATTTTGGAGCGATACAGCTGCTTGAGACCGTCCGAGACACTCTCGAAGATCTCGGCGACCGGCTCCTTTTTCGGCATTCTGCTGTCGGTGAACTTACAGGACCCTCCCAGCCCCGGCGCCGGCCTTGCTTGGCCTTCACACAAAAAGAATTCTTGCCCTCATGGCGGCCCACGCCTTGAGTCCAACGAAGCCTCCATCTTCGAGGGGAGCGATGACGAGCTCTAGAAGCGGCCGCCGAGCCCTCCCCGCGGCGCAACTCTAGCAGCGCCGCGGGCAGGGCGGCTCGCATAGCGCCCGCGCGCACACACACACACACACACACACACACACACACACACACACACACACACACACACACACACACACACACACACACACACACACACACACACACACACACACACACACACACACACACACACACACACACACACACACACACACACACACTTCTACCTCCCCAGAAATCCCGAGGAGGCGCACAGCGTAGATATGTCTTGTGTTGCTGTGTGCTGCACGCCCTGCGAGCGGGGCGGGGTGCGCACTGTCCCTCTGTGTTCGTGCGTCGCCCATCTCTCCTGGAGATGTCTGCTCTATTTATTTATTCAGAGGAGGCATCGCGCTCAGACGCGGGTGTCGCGGGACTCGGCGTTGCCAGTTGTCCGACTAGTCGATCTCTGTCTTCTGTCTCTCTCGGCTGTCTCTCGGCTGCCTCTCTGTCTCTCGGC